TGTTATTTTACCGGCTTTCCTGAATAACCATCCTTTATGTCACGTTGGGTACCACGCACATTTGCATGCTTGATTTGAATAAGGGTTAAATGTGTGATTTTGTCGCGGATACATTTCTTCAGTTTAACGTTAGACTATGCTAGCCTCTGAGCTAGCTCAAGTAGCAAGTCCGCTAGTGGCAGAACATATGAGGCCCAAATAAAAGAAAGGATTTTCATTTAAATTTGAAAGTAAGCAAAAATAATTCACATGTATTCTAGCAACACAATTTAAGCGTTTCATCCCCATTTTCGCCTTACCTCATCTGCGCTCAACTCCTCCATCGCAGCTAGGTTAGCTAGCTTTTACACTTACAACTGCTTTAATGTGCCAGCCAGAGCCAGCTAGCTAGCCTGTATTAGAACTGAATATGCATAGTCCAACTAGTTCAACAAATAAGTGTCAGTCTTGATTGTCTTCAAGATATAAACTATGACACCAGTATACGGAGGGTGGCAATATACAGTTCCTCCAAAAAGTCTGTCGTTTGCTAGTTTTCTACCAAGAATGAAACAAAAAGAAAAGAAGCTAGCTATTATACGTCAAAATACAGCTGCAGCCATTTTGGTTCTACACAAATGTCACGTGACCCAGAGACTACTGGGGGAGGTGTAAGGCTTCACTGTGTCGCACAGATAAATGTTATTTTACCTGTTATATATGTGAATATTATCGTGATTTACATGGAATTTACTGTCAGATAGCTGATCTATGCAAATCAGATCCATACTTGTATTTCGTTTTTAAAATAAACAGCACATCCTGTCTATATTTGTTAAAATCAATGTGCATGAATGGGGCATAACAAGGTCACAAAGAGGTTTTACAATTCAATTCAAAACCTTTATTTATCCAGGTAAAATCCCATTGAGATCAATGATCTCTTTTTCAAGGGAGACCTGCAGCAGTAGGTTCCACAAGAAGACATAAAAACATAAACAACAGAACAACAAAAGGACATCATACAGCAAAATGACAAAATACACGACCCTTTACTGGTGTTAGGAGGCTAGTAGCCTACCAGTTAAGGCACCAATAGGTAGGCTACAGATGGCAGGCTAGCAACAGTAAGAACAGGAAGAAGGAGATGGGAGAGGTATTCAGATAATTTTCTGACATAAAACTACAAATACCACCCTGTGAGAATAACTGATTAGTAATTTTCCTGCACTCAAAACCTTAATTAAAAGTTAGTGTTATCATCAACATTTATTTAAATTATCCAACGTGAAAAAAACGTATTCTGCAGTAATATGTTAACTGTTAGTGTTTTTATGATGTTTCAATATTAATGTTACTTCTGTGAGTGTTGCATTCTAATGCTGTTATACGCTAAATTGAACTCATTTACCCGGCCTACAGTTGGGTAGCTTAATCTACAGTAATGCATCACGTTCTATAAAATCAATATATGTTTGAAACAGGCCATATCTATAAGTGAGAGAAAAGGTTTATACAATCAGGAAGATAGGTTTATTTTTTATTTTTCCAAGGATAGGATGACTAAAACAATGTTGAATAAGAAAATATGCCACTTCAGATTTCAAAAATCCACTTTATTATACAAAATTATACAAAACTGTATTCATATCCTACACCTCACTTAAATTGTACATAAATGTATCTACAAGAGAGAAGGATTTAGATTTTTAGAATTAGCTCAACCAAATGTCATATGGCCAGCACAAGCCAATGCAAAGAAAATGTAGTATTTCAAATGTGTCTAATTAGACAATAAAGATTTGAAGGAAACAACAAGTTTGCACCGCACAGAGCCTGCATTGAGTCTCTAAGGTAGCTTAAAGGAGACAAAATCAGGCATGATGCACAGTCATTTCTCTTTACTTCATTAGGCTGAGCATCATTTACCTACAGACCAGTTTGGACATTGGTGACTGACAAAAAATGCACTGATGCCATCTAGTGGTGTAAATCAATACCCTGACAGGAAGGACATTATCACCAGAACTGAGCTTTGAAGTTACATTTCCGAAAAAAGACTTGATTTGTGTATCTAACACACCTCTCATCCAGAAAAACAACTTTCATTCCTCTTCACTCGTTCGCATTCTTCTTAAAAATTTGCTTGCAGACTTCTCCTTCACAGTACAGCTCCTGAGGGTCACATACATATACATTTAATATGATGTTAAGGGAACAAACTATGGATTAATAGGCTTCAAAACTTAACTAATAAATATCACCATTAAAGTTCCTTAGTTGAAAACTAACATTAAGACACTTAAGTATGAAACGTTTTCTGAAGTTTCATGTCCAAAATGTAACTCAATAATTGTTTTATTTAATGTGTGATCATTTACATTTCCTTAACAGAAATATAAACTTAAAAACAATCAAGGTTTTAAATTCTTGTCCAAATTCTGAAACTTGACTAGTGATGAAAATACAATGTTAATGCCTCTTGTGTCTACGTGCACTCTTCTTACCAGATGTAGCTTGTCCTCTTCAATCCAGTGAGCCCAACCCCGGTTCTTCTTCTCTCCAATCTGTTCACACACCAGTTTATTCCCCTCCCATGTCACCAGTGACTGCACAGATGGAAAAGAAAAAGAGAGTTTAAATCACAACAAGGAACAGGTTTAGCAGCCCATACAAAATGTTCTGAGCCAAGTGGTTACAGCGCATGCCATATAACCACCATTTACCATGCTCCTGCCTTAGGCCCTTTGTTTGCGTGTCATACCTCTCTCTCTCTCTTGCAAAAATAATGTTTTCACTTTGAACAAACAAATCATCAGACATTTATCTTCACCTTGACACGTCTGTTGTCCAATCCCTTGGTGAACTCCTCAAACTCCTGACCCACTCTGAAGGCGATGGTGTAGTTTTTGACCTTGCTGGTAGTTTTGATGGTGTACTGGTCCCCCTGCTGCTCGATCACCTTCTTCACCTTCACCGTCAGAGCAATCTTTCGTAAGCAAGGGCTGATACCTGGAAGGGTTGAGTAAAGTAAACAGAGAAAAAATCTAAGAAGATAAAATATGCATACCATACATTTCGCTGTTGTGTAAAGATTTACATTGCTTAATGCGGCAAAGTATTTCCCTTTGTGCCCTATTTAGCGTTTACATTTATATAACAATTACTTAACCAGAAGAGTCCAATTTGAATTCTAATGACTCTTTTTTCAAGAGAAACCTGGTCAAGATAGGCAGCAGCAGGATAAACAAAAAAAACATTACAGGCAGAAAACACAAAACGAAAGCACATTAAAAAGAAGGAATCCGCCTTTGTATAATGCTTTCTTTTTGGATTAAGAAACGTTTAACCAGATTAGCATATCAATTTGCATCAATTTAACAAATATTTAATATCTGAGAACATTGTTGGATTAAATCACTCCTAAAGGACTTACCCAGTGCAGTCATGTAGCCCTCCAAATTGACATTGCTCATGATGTCCCATGTATCACAGAGGGCTGGCATTTTGATGACTTTCTTTCCCTCCTGAGACCTGTGCGTGCAAGTTAAATGTGATCTTCAATCTGCTGAGCTGATGAAGAGTCCTGAAGAGAGACTGAGAACATGCTGTTTGGTGAGAGACCTGGAGGTTTTAAGGTAGGTGTGCCTTCATCCTATTCACTGTCCACGGTTTGAGGCTGAGGGAGGTGCTCTCATCAGTGACAACATGTCAGACTGGTCCCACCACAAAGATCACTGAATAACAAACCTTTCATTATTTGTGTCAAGTGTCACAGATTCATTTCACACAGATGCAAACAAACACAAGAACAAATATATTGACCTTTATTGCTTAAGATTCCTGCTCTGATTGATTTAAATGTTAGACTATTTGTCTTAATTTTTAGAATTATGCACATATCCTGCTTGTTGTGTGTAAACAATGGAGAAAAATTGAATTTTCTTTGACATTTTTCTGGGGATGTCGCAATAGACAACTAGTTACAATACTGCAAATAATATTGCGATACTTTCATCAGTGGGCTATAGGCTCAATCAACATTGTGTTTCGTCCTTTGGAGATAGATAGTGCCTTAACAGACCTTTATTTCAATGAAAATCTTCAAGATTGCTTAAATATTTATAAGAAAGTTGGATTATTTATGATCCTTTAAGTGTGGTATTTTTGTGTCCTTTAACAAATCACTTTTTTTGGGTAAAAATGTTATCCATAAAAAACAGAATACAAAATCAATCCTACGGATATAGGTAAGCCCAATATTAAAATACTTTACAAATTTGTACACTTTTTGTTGAGGTTAGCAATAAGTGCGTAAGACGAGTCATATTTAATTTGTGCACCTGCAGTTTTCTTATGACGATGACCTTTGTTAGGATGGCACACCTATTTATGCAATGGGGAAATGATAATATAATAACACTAACAATCATTATGCTGTGGTTGTGAAAGGATTCGCCATACCTTTAGTGGGAAAGAGAATAAACCACATGGAACTTGTCCAAACATTAAGCTAGTTCTTCTTCCTTGTGATTTCAACTAAGCAGCAATCCGTCGCTCTGATGTGATGCAGATAAACCTTGTCAAGGTTTTTTCCCACACATTACTCTACTTGTGCATACATTCTGTCATAGGCAACTGAAGCAGACATGAGTTGTTTAATATGTAAAAAAAAACGTGACCTTGTAATGTAATGAGAAAAAACCGTAGTTTAAACCGTTTAACAGTTACTTCACATTTGTACTGTATTCAGTTTTGATGCAATCTAATACCATTGATCGAATAATAAGAGGGAAACAACTTCAATACTAAGGAAAGCAATGAGTTTTAACTTGCCACATTTGTTATTTCAGCTATTATCTTCTATCAATTGATGATTACCTGAAAGATAAGTTAAGACACGTGATTTTAATCAAACAAAGAAGGTGTTGTTTTTGCACTTCCTTATATGAGGAAGTTAGATGTCTATCTGTGTGAGTATAGCATTGTGATTCCTGATGGTAACAAATAGCCTCCAAGTCTGAAAACCGAAAGAGTTGTTTACTTCATTTCAAGTCAATACAAATCACACATTTACTTTCAAACTGGGAGCACTGAAACATAAACATGTTTAAAGCATGAAGGAGTGCATAAACCAAATCCTGCTCTAGGTACAAAACATGTGACAGGTTCAGAGAGTATACTGAAGCATTGAGATAAAGCAAGTTAAACTTTTAAAATTAACTTGTTCTTAATCATACTTCATAATACTATTGGAGGTCATTGGCACAGTTGCCTGTTTTCAATGACCTCTCTTCCAGATTAATCATATATATGTTTATTTTCACTGTACAGCGTTGTTTCAACTGAAAAAGGTTACTGTTCCTACCCTGACAAGAATACAGCTACACAGAATGTCGAGGGAAAAACCCACAAAGTCTAGACTTCCTGGAAAGAAGATTTCCTGCTTCTTCTGGAAATATTCAAAGGGATTTTAATGAATCTATTCTTACATATTATATAGTGCAGTATAAATGTTATATATTCAATCTTTAAAAGTCACCAGAAGGCAGGAAGCAATGTTTCTATAACTTAACCTGAGAATTGTCACAAGTGTAAAGAATAAATGGATAACAACACAGTTTGTGTGTCTGTGATTCACTGTATGCTGACTACTTCACACAAAATGGTGAATCCCTAATTCAATAACCACGAACTGGATCTATTTTCAACAACAGCATTGACATTTAGATGACCTCCCAGCCAACTGTTCAGTTATTCTGTTTGTGAGTAATTTACTTCAGTCACTTCACCCTGTTCTGTCTATGCACACTTATAAAAACAAAACGCCTAATAGTCAAAATTACTGTTCTGTGTAGTAGGCACTGTTGGAAGTTAAATAAAATTGCCTGTATTGCTTATCTAATTTTGATTCACAGTAAACATACAGCACTTGGTGTAGAGAGCTATCTTCTCTGTGTTTTGCAACAGTAAACGTCCTCAGCTTTAGGAGACTTCTGTGTTCTTCTGAATAGGTGCCAGTACTACGCCTGCATTTCTCTGCTCGCTCTCAGCGCTGTACAGCGCATGTTCTTGTATGTAGTGAACCACGCCGTCAGGCAGCAGGTACCTGACACTCCGACCTCGACGCAGCGACCGCCGCACCTGAGTGGCTGAGATCTCATTGGTCACCCACTCGCGGACCACGTGGATGTTCTGGCGATACTGCCACAGCTTGTCTGACTGGTGGATGAACTTGTGGGGGTCACTGCCGCTGCGGGTGATGCAAACCATACCGTAGCGGCCGACAATTTCATCGATATCCTCCCGCTTCCACAGGTTGGGGACTCCGAAGGACTCCAGAACATCGGCCCCACACAGAAACATCAGCTGAAGGCCGTCTGTGCATGAACAGAGAAAAAAACATTTATATTAATTACTTACTTGTTTGTTGGTTGTACAAAGATTCTTAGGGATTGGAAGATTGCATTGACAAAAAACTAATTAAAAGATACCATAAAAATTGTATAATCCAACACAACAGCATATTAAAATGGAATTGAAGCTTGGAAAACATGTGTTTATAAAGGCAGCTTTACCTAAAGAAGATTTAACAAGCGATATTTCTGATGTTGTCAGCCTTATATCATATTTTTGTTTAGTTATGATGGAGGTTATTGGCACAGTTGCCCGTTTTCAATTACCTCTCTTCCAGATTAATCATATATATTCATATTTATTTATTTTTTCACTGTACAGCATTGTTTCAACTGAAAAAGGTTACTGTTCCTACCCTGACAAGAATATAGCTACACAGAATGTCGAGGGGAAAACCCACAAGCAAAGTCTAGACTTCCTGGAAAGAAGATTTCCTGCTTCTTCTGGAAATATTCAAAGGGATTTTAATGAATCTATTCTTACATATTATATAGTGCAGTATACATGTTATATATTCAATCTTTAAAAGTCACCAGAAGGCAGGAAGCAATGTTTCTATAACTTAATCTGAGAATCGTCACAAGTGTGAAGAATAAATGGATAACAACACAGTTTGTGTGTCTGTGATTCACTGAGGCTGTCTTGCCTGTCTTAACTGTAGTGGGTGTGATCAGGTGTCTCCCAACACACACCCCGACCCCATTGTTCCCTGTTCCCATGAGTTCTACTGGATAAAGGATGAATAAAGGGGAGGCAGGATCAGACTTGTCTGGAATAAGGAATTGGAAAAGGCATGGGTTGAAAAGAGCAACATTTAAGTTATACAATCGTAATTGTCCTACCTTTCTTTTGATGAGACGAAGCTCCAAAATGATTCTCCTCTATACGTCTCTTTTTGGCGTACTTGACCGTGTCCACATCATCGGTATTCTGCTCTGCCTCAAGCATTTCCTTATAGTAATGCCTAAGTGGGTCCAGACAAAATAATATAGCATCAAAAGATGTTTGGGAGTTAACCGCATTGCAAACAGTTTCAAATACAGGACGTATGAGTCATTTTTACAGTTAGTATCCAGCCAGTTCTGCATACTAAAAATGTCCCTCTTGAGACTTTTTCCCTTCTTCATGCATGCACCCTGGAAGTTGGTGAGAATCACTACTCCTGCTTATGTACACATGTCATTTATTGGGCCATAATAAGCAATAATGTCACATAACAGGTCTGAAGTTTGATTGAAATACTTATAAATGCACATTTAAAGATGTCATTTTCAACCCAAGAGTAACGATAAGCTTCAAGCATGATGCATTCATGAAGTGAAAGGAAACCCTGTGTGACACTGAACATGAACAACTTTGTGATCTGAATACAGTTGGGAGGGTTGAACGATGAACAGCAGGGATGACTCAAAACAAGAGTAACGATCACATCAAATCCTAAACTGCTACAGGCACTGCTTGTAAATCATTAGTCATTACATCGTTGTTACTGGTTTGATGAATGGGTGGCTTGAGGTGACTGACAAAGAAGAATTAGAGGAAAACAGAATACTGTAAGCAAGGAAACTCTGGTTGAGGACATCAAAAATGTCTGTGAGGATGTGTCTTTTTGGCTGATTTCTGCACACGAAGCAGGCATACGCACTTACAATAACAAGACATGAGAATTGTCAACCTACCTAACAACTTTGGCTGTCTCCACCCACTCTGGCTGCAAGCTCTCCCAGGGATCAACTGTGATCCAGTCCGAGCTGTCTGTTGACAATCTGGCCATCTCCAGGCGGTGACGGGCCTCAATCAAACCCTTCTTCTTATAGGCATCACCCACCGGAGAGATGATGCCTTTCACCACCCTGTACTGACCTGGAGCATTAAAGAAGTGGTGTGAGCACATGGTAAACAGAAATGGCACAGCAGATGTAGTAAACTGTTCATTTGTGAATTAATTATTGATTAAAAATATATCCTATTGCGATTATTTTTGGCTGATATTACAATTGCAATTGGTGCATGAAAATATTTTTCTAACTTTCCTCATTTTATTAGAAGATTATTTTTGCAATGATTATGATATGATTTATTGGGACAGTATGTACTTAAGAAATATCTTTCTGTAGTATACAATTTGTACAGAACATTTCAAGGGCACCACAATATTTGATATATTAATATATATATGTGTTTTACTTAAACTAATATTGCACTTGTCCCTATTGCAATTTTGAGAAATATTAGAGTTACTGTTCATCCTTATATCATGATGGTTTAACAGAGTAAAGCAATGGTGAAATATAAGTACATATAGTACACAAGTGATGTACTTGTGTGAAAAATGTTGAGGTACATGAGTATTTTAATATTTTCTACTTAAAATGTGTATTCAACTATATTTCACTACATATTTTGACAGAGCTGTTAGCAGTTACTTAACAAACACTGTATGCACTAGTAATTTAATGTGTTACATTTTAAGTAGGCCTATATATGTTGCTGCTAATAACAGTGTATTTTTTTACTTTAAGTAATTTCACTAATGCAGGACATAATGTATTTGAGGTATATATGAGTACTTACACATTGCTGTGTTTGCTTAAGTTAAGGATCTAAATACTTCCTCCACCACTGTTTCTAGCTCAGATTTTGAGGTATTAGCCTCTGATATCTCTAAAATGTATATTTCTCATTTCACTCCACCTGTGTCCTCCAGATGGTCTCGAGCCAGTTCAAACATCCTCAGGTGCATGTTGGTGATGGGGTTGAAGGACCCACATGCCAGCAGGACCACTTTGGTTAAATGCTGGTCGTCCATGCCTCATACTGTGGCTGTGTTTACACAACAATATGGAGAAGAAATCACAGACAGTAGTTAGCAAGTTTATTGCTTTTCGAGGACTATATTTTAAATATCCCTCTGGCTTTCTGGTCTTTGCACTGTTGGAGGACCCTGTGACCTACGTTTTTCATTGCCATATATACACTGTAGCTAATGTGCAAATGACAATAAAGCCTTGTATCTTGAATTTTGTAAACAAGCTCTTAAGGAAAATATACAAAAGACGAATGAAATGATATGAAGTTTAATAGAAAAAATGTATGTTTGTTAAAAACAAACAACAGAAGGTATGTCAAAGACCAACCAATTATTGAATATTAATACAAATTAGCTAGGTTTCAGCTTGTATAGAACAAAAGATGGAAGGATACACATCAAATTAAATTCTCCTGTAGAAAATACCTAACGGTGAATTAAATATACTATTTTAAGTTATATTTATTTGACTTTAGGAACAGCACAATATTACTTCTGTATGTTTTTATGTTCCCACAAAGAGCATGGGTTGAGGTGCCTCGATTGTTTTGGTCTAAAAAGCCCACAAATGTCGGACCCCTTTTTATCCAAAAGGTAGACACCGTTCATTTTAGAGAAGGTTATGAAGGTGTAATCAAAGAAATGGACGTCCTGTATTCGCTATAAGTGAATAACGTTATAGTATAATTTGAAAGTGAAACCAATGCGGTGAGTAAACTTAGGTTAGCATTGCCGTTAGCAACGCAACTAATTCGTTAGCTTTATAAAGTATTATACAATAGGCAACGTAAACCTTCCATTTGGTACAGGCTGCTCAAGCATACAACTCATGAAATCAAGGCTTAGCTAAGACAACAAAGGAGGCGTGTTTTTTTACAACATATAGAGAAGTATTGTAAATATTCAATACTACCAGGAGAAACAGGGCAGTCAGCTGGGCTGCTGTGACGTAGGGACGGCTTCCTGTATGGATGATACAACGAGAGATCTGATTGGTCACATCGACCAGAAAGCAGACAGCCGTACCCACACTGCCGAGCTGCGTTCACAAGCACAAACACACCCTAACCAAGCGACTCGTTAAACACTAAATATTCTGAAACCTCAAACATCAAGAATATATTTTTCGATGAAATTCAAGAGACAATTGTGTTGTTTATTCGTCAAGCTGGTGCACTCATCGCAGGACTGATTTACAACTGTTTCGGTGAGATGTTTTCTTTTAGCATGCTAGCTTGTTATTCAGATAAGTAAACAACGTTGAGTGTTATATAGCAAGGTCTGATATTCCATCAATTACACTCATCCACAGTTTGACAATATAGTTAATGTCTCGCTAAATGTTGAACAATTTTGTTTAAATGCTGACACCCAACAACGTCATTCTGATTACATATTTATAGAATGCTAGGTGGACTTAAAGGATCTGTCCCTAAGTACATAGAGCAAGTGTGTTTTCAGTATAAATAGTAAGAGAATTATCTTCGCAGTTCCTTTTGTCTAAAAATGGGGGGGTTTAGATGTTTCAAATGCAACTTCAATTGTAAAAATCTGTTCGACCATGGTGGGGATACAAACAATCAAGAAACTGTCTTGTCTGCACATTTTAGGGTGTATTGAGGAGAATAACATCAGACCTTTGATCTAGGTTAGGTAATATGTTGTCGAGAGTATGTAAAATGATATTGAGCTTGGGAACATAGATATGCTATATACTGTGTTAATAATACAAAATGAAGTTGTACACGTGTTGACTGCTTTATTCTTTGTTTGCATTCTCTATAGGTAACATCAAGGTTTTTTTTTTTTAACCAAGCATGGCTTCTCGAGGGAAATCAGAAACTGGAAAGTTGAGGCAAAATATGGAGGAGCAACTTGACAGACTGATGCAGCAGCTTCAGGATCTGGAGGAATGCAGGTGAAATTGATGATGATTCAAACTCACTATAAGCTGTTACGGGTTTACCAAATGTGACTCCTATATTTGTCTAATATTGATCTATTCTATGTCAGAAAGTACCTCTACACATTTCCCCAATATCTCTGGTCCTTGTTTTAATTCCAGAGAAGAACTGGATGAAGAAGAGTATGAGGAGACAAAAAAAGAAACCCTGGAACAGTTGAGTGAATTTAATGACTCCCTGAAGAAGATCATGACAGGAGACATGACACTTGTGGATGAGCTCAGTGGAATGCAGCTGGTATGAACAACCAATAGATTCTGTGCAACTAGTGTGTATTAAGAAACACTTAAAGACGTCAACATTTATAGAAAGTAGCTTATAAAATATTTCAGTTTCAACAATATGTTAAACATTTGTGAAGCCTTACAGTTTCAAAAATGTTTCTGTGTTCATCAGGCAACCCAGGCTGCCATCAGCCAAGCTTTCAAAACCCCAGAGGTGATCCGGCTCTTTGCTAAGAAGCAGCCAGGACAGCTGAGAACCCGACTAGCAGAGGTTTGCATTGTTTGTGTAATGCACAATAGTTTATGTTTATTTCAACTGCTCGAACACTCCTTAGTGTTTGATTGCTGTTGCTTGGCCTGAAAATGGTGGTACTAGTGTGTGGTATTCTGTGCAGATGGATCGAGATGTGATGGTGGGGAAACTGTCGCGGGATGTGCACACGCAGCAGAAAATGGAAATCCTCACAGCCTTGAGAAAACTTGGAGAGAAGGTGAGGAAACGCTCCCAGCAGAGATGTGATGTTTTTCCACAGGTTCACGGGTGACTCAGAGGCTTGTGCTCATGAGTCCACATAACCTATTTTAGTCTTGTATCCATCACTAGACTGTCACACTAGTTGCTACAACACCCCTACACCTCACTTCAGAAGGAGCACTGACCAAAATGCATTTTTCTTTTGTGTCCGTTTCTTTACAGCTCACTGCAGATGATGAGACTTTTCTCACTGAGAACGCTACAGCTATTCTAAGCCAGTTTGAAAAAGTGACGGCAAACTTAGGTGAGAATAAATGTGTGATTTCATTAATATAACCCAATCCTTAAAATGGTCAATCGTGGAAGTTTATTGATGAACATTCCTATATCTATAACCTTGTTTTGTCTTCTCTTTCAGGCTCTGAAGACAAAATAATGGCTTTAGCTAGCTCTGGTGTGAAAACCAAGGCATAGTAATTTTACCAAATGTTAGTTAAAAACAAAGTCACTGAGTTAAAAATTAACAACGAAAAGTGCCAATTGATCGTTGATCCTGCAAACAATCAGTGCACTTCTAGGTGTTGCTGTAGAAGCTAACACTTTTAACCAGTGTTGTTTTATACACCTTAACGTTTTTAGATGTCTTTTATTTTTTTGGAGGGGTGTAAAAATGTATTTGAGGTACGAGAGTGTGATTTTGATTGTATGAATGTAAAGGATAGTCAAGGCAGTTGAAGAGAAAAACTCGGCTGTGATTTGTGTTGTATTTCTTACACTAATGCTGAGTCTATCCGTCCTTAAAATCTGAACATTGTTGTTTTTAAGATTGTTGATTTCCTGCACAAGTGCTGCAATTATTCAATATGTCATTTTATTTCAACTAAACTGTGCTGTTTACAGGGATTTGGACAAAACAACAAAGTAACTATAACACTTTTCTACCAAAACATCTGACAATCACCTTCACAAGTCAGTACCTGAATCACAAAGGGTTTATAATTGTTAAAATACTAAATAATAGACAACACATGCAAGATATGATAATAACAAAGGCTGATGGCTTTAATGAGTAACTGCTCTCTGACAGAAATAGATGAAAACCTGTCAGAATGATTAGTAAACACAGCAGTCACTACTTCAGATTTTAATCTTTGTGTCTCAGCAAAAATATACTTACTATAAGCCTGCATTGAAACTGCATCCATCCAGTGCAAACACAGTCTTGTGATACATAACTCAGTGAAATGAGCACCAATCTGGACTGAACAAATATGATCAGATGAGACTTTGGCCTGCACTGTGATTGGAATACCCCGGATGGATTAGTCGCCATCTGTGAAACATTGTCGTGGACCTTGTGATGGTTTCAACATCCAACCCATGAGTGATTCAGTCTGATTAACAGTCTGTGAGGAACAGCCAGTAACATTTACATTTAGAGTACCAGATGAAGCCTGAACTGTTGTATTTGTTGTCCTCTTAAAACAATAGAGACCCAAGAGTTAGAAACAAGAAAGGCTAACCAGAAGGAAATAAAAACAACTGTTCAATCACTAAACATGAGTGATTCAGATGTAAATACCAATACCAAGGGGCTGAATAGAGTAGATGTTCACCTCATATATTCACAGGACAATCTTAAAAATCTAAAAAGAATAGGATATGTTCACACATTTCACATCCAGGAGTACACTTTGAAAGCTTCTGGATATGTATTTGGTGTCAGGAGTTTCTATTATCTTGTCCACCCTCTATGTATTCATTGTTTATCAAAAATGATAAAGTGTGCTTCAATCGACAAGTGTTGTAATATGTTTGCAGGAATCAACTTTAATGTTGCATTGTATTTTAAGTTTGACAGGTTGAATCTATTTAAATGTTTACAGCATCAAACATGGTTGATATTCAGCTTTGAAGACGTGTGTTTGAATGTGAGCACGAAGAAAAAAAAAGTGTTTGTTGAATTGTTTTCATTACCTCCACCAAGAGGTTATGTTTGTTTGTCTGATGTCAGCAGGAAAAACGGGTCTGACTTTCAGACTTGGAGAAAGTGTGTAGCAAAGAGCCAAGGAAGATATATTAATTTCCACCACCAGAGGACGCTAATGCTGTAGATTTAAACACTTCAGCTCAGGCAGGGTGTGTACCAGCAGCAGTGAGAATAACAGACTTAAAGGTCCCCTATTAGACTCTTTTTCAACTATATATATATATATATATACACATACACATATATATATATATATATACACAAATAAAATATCTGAAGTGTTTTAGCATGCCATAAACCCCTCAGCCCTGTTCTAAAAGTGCTGATTCTGTATCTGTAGCTTTAGATGGTAACAAGCTGCCACCCCTCACAACCCTCTGTGAAGTGTTTGGTCTAGGAGGAGATTCAGGCGATAAAATGGGCGGGTGTTACCTTGGTCGTTTATTGGCTAATCTGATCAGCTCATTTCAGAAAGGTTTTTATATAGATGGATCAGGTACAAAAAAAGAGAATATTTTTTCCTGAAACTTTCCGTATCTGTTGACACATGTTTATGTTTAAAGACATGAAAAAGTGGATTTTGCTTAAATGTGACCTTTAAAGTTTGATGATAGAAGAAAAACGAGTACAGACAGAAGTTATACCCCATCTCATCATCCTTTATTTTTGTTCACGAGCAAGCATCAACTTCACTACAATTTGCCTTTCAACGTGTAGAAAAGTGAGAGCAGCTCCAACAAGCACAAAGGAAGCATTCAACCGTTCTGAAAACATTGTCACCTTTCATTTTGAGCACATTTTTAAAAGAAAAGAAAAAAATATATATCTGGAGTGTTGTGGACGTGTGAAACAGACAATCTGATAATCAGTAGTGTGTCTCTTGTCGCACAACGTACACAAACTTGTGGTTCATGCAAAGTAAATTCCCCTTAAATCTGAGTGTTATTACAGTATGGCTGCATTTCAGTTTGTTAGGCAGTGACATTCAAGTCAACCAAGTTACACTTAACGCGAGGGCTGATCGGAAAGCGTTAAACCCAGAAAACTGGACATGGTGGCATCACCGTGTGTCAGTGTGCACATATCAGTGACCCATGGTATTGTACTTTAGAATTGTAGATGAAATGTGGACATTAAGTGTTTGACGAAATGAGACAGAGAATTGAGACCGGCTTATACTCTGGTTCTTGTGAATTTCATGCTGCCCTCAAAATCATTTCCCAACCACTCAGGCAATAGGACACTGTTCAAAATGACCTTCCACTATACGCAAATAGACCAGTTTACAGTATACTCATGTATGCTGCCAAAGCAATTTCATAATGTACTGTACATCTTTTTAAAGGTGGACTCCGTCAATGATTTAGTACAATTTCTATAGAAGATACAATATGGATCTACTTCCTCTACACAACATGGACACATGACATCTATGTAAAACATTTTTTCACTTTAATAAACCTAGCAGTGGACTATTGTTACAACAAACGGAAACAAAATATAATCCCCAGCTCTGTAAGAAATCTAGCATTAAACAAATACAAATAAAAAACAAAAATGGCCACAAATAAAAAGAGCACGGATGAGTGTTTCTTTTGTTAGACCTGCTAATTGCGCTATGATCGGAAAAAGGCACTCCCATCTCAGCCGGCTCTGACCTGGCCACCTTTTTATCTAAAGTCCAAGTCATCGTGGAGGGGAGACTGTTACTACATTTCCAACACAGACCTTTTAAAATTATAAATTATTTCAGCTTAAGAAAAATAACTGTGACTCAAACCCTCAACAGAAGCCGGGAAACCGTCTTTAAGAAAAAGAGCCTTGAATGAGTTCAATTGTGGCTTCCAAAAATAGATTTGCATGCAAAATACGAGACTCAAATCACAAACATATTTCAGGCGGATAATGCCACGTTCCATTCACTTGAAGCTCCCAAATTTGTTCCGCTTTAGTTAATGCAGGTTTGGGAAAGGTTAACATTTTAACTTGGAAAACAAACACTAAGCGTGAGTGAATATTTGTATCTGGTTGTGTGAAAGATGTATACAACAGTGATGGACAACAGTGTCTGAGAGGAGATACAGGTTGGACATATTTTCCCAATCAATTGTATAAGCTTTATACTAATACCAGAAGGAAAACAAGTTTACCAAATGTAAACAAATATCTGTAAACAACTCTACAGTACAGTTTCATGTACGATAAAATCTGGTGGTCTACGACCAAAATAATTCCTTTTAAGATTCAAACAAGAAGATCAATTTTTAAATGTTTTCCTTTTGTAGTTTATGCAGTTCAGGTGTAAGTCCTAAGATAAAGACTGTACAGTTTTTGCTATAGGAAACCGGTTTATTATATCAGGTTAAGAAGCCGTGAAGAGACGTGAAAAATAAAATTGCAACTTCCTGAAATGTACTTTCATTTAATTTCTCCCCTCCAAATAAAAGCCAGTGACTGCACCACACATCCAAGCTGCACTAAAGCTCAGTCTCTGCTCTTTCAGGAGTTTAAAGGTGTATTTCCTCCCTACTTCTGTCAGTGCAGCAGGACAGGGTTACAGACACAGCTTTTATAGCAGCTGAGCCCAAATACACTGGCAGAGAAATGTTTGTACCCATATTTAAAACCGCCCACAGTACCTGCTGGCCTTGTGTTTGTACCGTTTTACACTACATGTCCATTTGTACATTAGCTTTTCTCCAAGTATTATTACTCTGAACAAAAACAAAATCCCTTCTGTACAACAGTGAGATCTTTTGGGAATGAAATACACTGACGCCCGGAGTAGAGCATTGCTACCTGTGCAAGCAAAGCAGGGCAATGTATGAAGCTAAAACCATCCACCAGTCCTGCCTACCAGAAACAGAAATAAATGATTTTTCTCTTTGCAAAAAAAGACAAAATGGCCACCACTTTGTCATGGAAACCTCCGCTCAACAGTCCTGGGTTTCTCATCAAGAAGCAGACATTTTTATACAAGCATGATGGAACAGCTTTCGCGGAAATTTAGCGACATGCTACAGCCTGTGTGACACAAATATTCTACATTACGAACTGCGTCATTTTAGATATTGGACCCCATTGAGTAGGCCTTCACTAACACATCGACTAATTACATGATTTCTTTATATTTACAAAATCTTTAAAAAGCAATGTATTTCTCTACACATATGACTTCTCAAATATGCTCATGCACTAAAAGAATTTAAAAAAAGAAAAGAAAATGCGGTCTGCTCGTTGAAAGCATTGTTTTGTTTCGCTGCGGACTACAAGTCAAGAGAACTCAGGTCAAGCTTATACGTGAGATTAGCGGCGAACAAATCTAAAAGCATTATGCAAAGAATATACATTAGGGGGGAAAAAAGTCTCCATATGATCGCTTTACGTCTGAGAGAAAATAAAAAAAGTGCAGGGTTGGCTTCCTCACACAGTTCAGAACAAATGTTGGCCAAGCTTTCCTGGGAATTAAAATATAATAAATACAAAAATAAACAGTAAAAATCAGCAATCCGTGATGACTACACTACACTGAGTACCACCACTAAGATAACAACAGGAAAGCCTTGACCATATATATGCAGAAGGGAATTTTTCTTTAGCTTTTCTTTTTTCACATCATGGCTCCTTGTAGGGGGGGGTGTGTGTGTGGATGTGAGTGAGTGTGAGTCGGTGATGTGTGTGTGAGCTTGTGTTTAGTGTTATATGTGTGTGTGTGTGTGTGTATGTGTGTGTGTGTGTGTGTTTAGTAGGTGAGGGTGGAGTCGTCCCACTCCAGCTGCTGCTGTCTGCTGGCCGCCTGCTGGTCCTCCGGCTCTGCCCCCTCCTCGTCTTCGCTGCTCTCTGACTCAGCACTCGTGATGTCATCTTCCTCCTCTCCGTCCTCGCTCTCCTCCTCCTCTTCCTCCTCCTCCTCGCTGCTGTGCTGGTCCTCGTAAGTCTGTGTTGAAGACAGAGGAAGAGGATGGGGTTGTTAGTGAAGAGACACGAGAATAGATATATTTATAGATCAAAACCGCTGCCTGCCTGGATGTAGATTCACACATTTACACCAGTACCAACTGACTTAGTAACACATCCTGCTGTAAATGTGTCGAATATGCAGTTCTTAGAAAGTAATTGAGGCAATTCTTTTTTATTTTAATAAAATATGAAAACCCTCTTATTAAAACCCTCTTCCCTCTCTTGATTTGAAGTGAAATTATCCCAGGCAGTCTAAAGGCTATCATTTTTTTCTGACAGTGCTAAAAACACAATCCATCAAACATGTCAGGGTGTCCCGCCTTTTCCCCAAGTGCATTCACGTTGACCTGATGTAATACCATCATTATTTTTAAACAGTTTTTTCATTTTTTTTCCATAACCATAACTTGTTTTCTTGTATTAACTGATAACTGTATACTACAACTAGCCGTCTAAGAAAGGCACATAAATATCAATAATAAAACATATGCATTTGATCTCAACCCGACTGCTTTGTGATGCTTAGGACAAAAGAAAGAACATTTATTATGCTACATTCAGCATTTCTGGTTCTCACTGAACACTGTGTAAGATACCTTTGGATTTTTCTCATCATTTACTGAAGTTGAAAAAGGCTAGATTCCCCACAGCAGAGTTTAATTTGGGGCTCACTTGTACAAATGTGCGAGGCTCACTAAACAGGGATGTGATGCTCTGTTCTACTGCAACCAGTGATGTGATTCAGGCTGACAGTTCAATTTCCCTAAAGCAGCTGTAAATACTGCAGACGCATTTCTCTAGATTAGAAGACAGTAGTCAAAGAGTACCACGACTATTTTTGGAAAATAGTTGGCGATACTGCATTCTGTTTTCAACGGCTTCAAGCTGTAAACGGAGCCTTCATCTTCTCAGAATAAAGAACCAGACAAAAATGCAAAGTGAAAGCGTGGGTTAGAGGGAACGAATCTAAATGACAATGTGTCATCATTCTATCCATTACATTGTGCCTCAAAGTCTATTTCTTAATAACCAAAGCACGTACTACTGCAACTTTTATTAGCGAGATAATGCTCCATAAATATCTTCGACAAAGTCTCTTCCCCCATGCCCACAGGGCTGCCAATCACAAAAGCTCAGATGAAACTAGGCCACAGTCACAGCATCAGCCCGAGCATTAGCAGGTAGAAAGCTGTAACCCGACCACATTTTGTTGAGAAGTGAAATTCTCTTCTCCTTTGTTCAGGCTAATTACCAGATTTGTTTTAATGTGTTTGGAAAATACTGAATGTACTCTTCCAATATCAGAGTAGCACATGATAATAAAAGCCCTACGTAGCTGTGTACGTAACAGGATGTATGATCACCTAGAAGAGTGTGATAGTTATGTGACAACGATTAACATGATGATTCAGCCTCTATGGAGATAGGCACATGACTGTCATGTTTATTGCTTACGCAGGTCTTAGCTAATCTGAACTAAACATTGAATACGGCTTTGAACTGGTATTCTGCATTCTGCATTGTGACTGTAACACTCTCTTGTATATAAGCATGTCAAGGACACTATTCGGGGAACTATTTGTCCAACGCAGCTCTGTGTGACTACTAAGGATAATAAATACATGTATCCTGATATTGAAGACCAAGCCGGTGACGAGTGATATTTTTCTTAACAGAATGTATTTGTACCTCCATGGGGTTGACGGTGATGGTGAGGGCTGAGTCGTCCCAGTCCATCTCGTTCTCCTTGCCGCTCTCCTGGTCCCTCATGGTGCCCTGGTGTGCGGCTCGGACGCGGAACACACCCAGGATGATCATAAACACCAGGAAGCTAACGCACACCACGATGACAATGGTGGCTGCGCTGGGAACGACTGTGATGAAGCAAACACACAGAATAAAAAGGTTAGATCATTTTTATTTGCACATGAAAACCCTCTTACAGCTCAATGTGTGGAGTCACGTCTCTGAGGAGTGTTTTAAGGGCTTCAGTTTCCCAGTGAGTCAGCCCTGATGTTAACGGCTTCTTACTAAACTGCGGATGAATGCTTTCGGCAGCTCTAGGTGTGCGTCTTTCATTAAAACGCTTTTTTTCTCCCTCCCTCCAACCTTCTCCACTTTACCCCATATTGGCAGGACGGGGCCTCTCTGTGTGGCAGGCTTAGTGATCCTGACAGCCCAGAGGATTAGCCGGGAAATACAAGGTTGTGCTCAGACCACCGCGTGTGCAGATGTCACAGACAGCACTCAAGTGTAATCCCTTAACTTGTGCCATAAAAAAAAAGGCAAATAACCAGTGTTTTCCTACGTGCCCTATTTCTGGTTAATAGATTGTAATCCATCCGTGAGCAAAGCTTGTTACACCAGAGGCCAAGTGTGTTTCCTACAGCAACAACAAAGAGAAAAGATTACTAGTTGATTATTACGTTTGTTATTCATTTAAACGTATGAGTGGAATGCTGTTATAAGGTGACGGTTCAGTCAGCAATAGTGATCAAGTTCAACTATTATTTAACAAGATGTTGTTGTTTTCAGTCAAGATGTAAAGGATTTCTACATGTTGCAGCAGAATTTGTTAAGTGGCACTGAAACGGAAATTAATTAGTTTTTGTCTTCTTGAAAGGGAGGATCATTTCAACAAAATGGATGCATTAGGAGAGGTAAATAAAACGGTGGAAACAGTGTTGTTTGTATAATGCAAAGGACAAAGGCAGAAATGTTCTGTATTGTATTCTGAACCCTAACGTTTCCCATGTTGCAGTACCTGAGGCCTGGTGAGCGTTGACCAGGTTGTGCCCGGACAGATCCAGAGAGGCGTGATGCACAGGGTTGATGAAGTTGGGCTGCACCATGGCGTTGTTGGCCTGCTCCACAGGATTAGCTGTGTGGATTACATTAACCTAGAAAGAATACAAACACAATCTTTCACAAAAAGTTGCCGACAAATCTCCATTTGAGATGTAGCTCGAGCCAAATTAATGCTTTTTGGAACATTAGCGGTGCATGAGGTGGAAGAAGTATTTAGTATTCATTCAACTTGTATGTATAAGTAGCTTTACTATAATGTAAAATAGTCCGTTACAAGTCAAAGTCCTGCATTTACAACGTATTACATCAAGTTATACTTGAAGTAGAAAAAGTAAAAGCACTCATTGTGCACAATGGCCCATTTCAGAATCATCTAAACATGATTACACTGAATTATAATTGATGCATTTATCTGCTCAATACTTAAACTGTTGAAGAAAAATTAACTGACACAATATCTGCCTCCAAACAGTAGGAAATGGAAACAGTTAAGTGTGACTCTGTCAAAATTGTACTTAATTAGAGTACTTGAATGTGCTTAGTAATTTTCCATCACTTCTGCTTGCACTCCTCTTTGTGAATGCGTCACTGTTTTGTGACGTAGCTAACGCATGTTCAGTCGTACCTCAACCTTGAAGTCGTTGCTGATGTAGCGGCCGTTGAGTTCAGAGCAGACCAGTTTGAATTTCCTGTCAAAGAGAGCCTCTGTGTGCCAGTTCTTGTAACGGATGAGATGCAGGACCTGCTCGTAGTTTGCCATGGTGTTCACACCTGAAACACCCAGAGGAGAGCTCGTGTCAAAGAGAAATATGATCAGCAGTCATCAGAACGTCTCAGAAAAAGCTCTGTTAAGGAGTAGAGAATTGTTGCAGGGAAGCATGTTTCTAAAAAGAATGGGGTATATTTTAAAATGTATCTTTAAAAATCATAATCTGAGAGACAGTAGATTTGGTAACTATGACCTTAAATCAGTCTAGTTAACAATGCGAGTGCCTACGTTTTAAATATTTACACAGGTACATTATACATTTGTTCACATGTGAGTCCTTAATATTACTATTTTAAAGAATGTATTCCTTATACAAAGCCGATACGTTCATGTCCTGATATCAGTGCTGTGGGCTGTGTGTACCGGTGATGACGAGGCCCAGGTTAGAGGAGCTCATCTCCAGGCTGTGCTGCTGCAGCTGAGACATGTCCACCTCCAGACCCTCGTGCTCCCCGTCCAGCTCGTCTCCCACCACGCTCACTTCACAGGTGTCCAGGTTGTGCATGATCTCCTCTGACACCACGGTCTCTTGGACTGAATGAACAATGGAGGGAAAATATTCAGATGTGAGTAGGGATCTTCTCAAATTGAGGAGTGTCTGTAATGCAAGTTTGTTGTACGCCAACATCAATGTTGTAAGCGAAGGACAAGTACAGTACCCCAAACAACAAATATCTAAATGTTTCGCTACAACAAATAAAACAGTTTAAAAAAAAACATTTATAAAATAGAAAGTAGGCAAATCAGTCAAAAACTGTAAGGGTATAACTGAATAATTATATAATCAGCATAGTTTGGTTAAAATTAGGACACATCCCTTAGTTATCACCATCTGTTGTTTACAAAGTAGTTTGCAAAGTAATAAAGAAAAGGCTGCCATTTTGTGTAAAAGCTTTCTTTAAACCCTTTCAAAATGTACTTATTGTTTCCTAAGGATATTATATATCTATTTGAGTCAGAATGTGATGAGATCTTTGATTCTTGCTCATCTGCTTTGACATCTCTTGTTTCCTGAGGAAGGTGGGGCAGGGTAACGCAGGTAACAGCAGCAGATCTCAGGGAGTCCTTTTGTCCCATAATGCCTGTTGTTCACCACAGGACATTGCATCTCGCTGTATCTGTGTCACGTCTATTGTCTGAATGTCTTAGCTCATATACGAGCAGATGGCTGGCTGCTCACAGCCCCTCCCATACAGTAGTAAACAACTTATCTTTGCACCCTCCCTCTCTACTCTACCCAATCCATTCCGCCTTTAGACTTAATCCTCCAGATCACCTGCTAATGTACAGCTACACCACTATCAACTGTGCAAGGTCATTTAACTAAAGCAATAGATGGAGCAATTCATTAATCACACTGCCTAAGACTAAGATTACATATGTGGCAGTATTTGTTAAGTAGAAATCAAACTTCCTAACAAAGAATACTAAAATGGGTTGGCTTCATTTCCATGTTCCTTAAAACAGAATCCGGTGTTAAAATAAGGGCACGAGTGCATTTCTCATACCTGTAGGGTCATCATCAGTTCCCTCTGCTGCTTCAGATTCAGCATCAGCCTCCACCTCGCGGGTGATGGTGCTCACGATGCGTAGCTCGGGGAACAGCGTCACACCTTCCTGGCTCTCGAATTCTGCGGCGCTGCGGGCAAAGTGATCGATCCCGCTCAGGCTGATCTTTGGCTCCTCGGGCTGCAGCACCATCACATAACCTTCAGCATCTGGCACTGATACGCAGGACTCCTCGTTGAAGCATCTGCGGGAAGATTTGAGTTGAAATACTTGGTAACCTGGATCTTTGACACTTTTTTATTAAATTGCTGGTTTTCCCTCTGCTTTGAAAGGCAAAAAGGGGCATTTTAAGAATCTTACAATCTAAAACTGGAGTCAATTCTCATTTTGCAGTTATGCAACCCATATACCTATAAACTGCTCATTATACTGTGTCTCCACGTTTGTTAAGATGTACACCAACAGCTGGAGGGTTGCATTCACAGGTAGAAACTTAAAGTATAATGAAAATTGAAAAAGATTGCCTCATTTATCATTCCACGATGCAGATTTTTGCATATGCAAATAAAAAAAGCAACGTTTCTGCAGCACTAACTGGAACGGATCTGGCTGTAGGCTCAGCAGAAACCTAGGTCTGAATAAATTGCTTTCATACATCATTTGTAAACACTGAGCAGATTTGTTATTCACAATCCAGTCTCTGAATACATGATTGTTGTTAAGAAAATCTACATCAAAGAGAACTGAAAAACTAATTGCAAAATCCTAAAGCTCATCTGTCATTCTCCAAGCCTGAAACATTTGTATGTGTTGTCTCTTAGTTATGGAAATTACAAAAAACTCCTGACCTCTATTTTACCTCATGAAACCATCCTCACATTTAAAGCAGAAAGATGAACCCTCTCTAAACCTGTTACATACACTCCGGCTACTGCTGACTGACAAATGACTGACATTGAATATGAAGTATTTTTGGGATATTTTTGGCTACTTACTTGACGGTGGTGGAGATGCGAAGGTGCCTGATACCAGGTGTGGGAAACTGGCGAGAGTTCAGGTAGGAGATGTGCTGCATGACCTTGTCAAAGGCATCGATGTCGTCTCCCTCCACGGTCAGAGAGGACTGGTTGGGGTTAAACTCAACCTGAGAGGAGAAATTAGGTGACTGTGAGATTTGAGGCAAGAATGGATAACCCCTCAGTGCTAACCTTAGAGCTGAAATGTTAAATTCATGTCTAACACAGTTGACATTTCTTTGCTTCCCCCACTAGGATAACAAGCCTCAGAGGTTGACAGACTGAGTGTGTTTTGTGTCTCTAAATCACTGCGTTCTGCTCACCTTGACAGCTGAAGCTATCTCCTCAGGCAGCTGCACGTCCAGTCCTTCCTTGCAGGTGTACAAACAGTCGATCACCTTCTTGTTCTCCAGCTTGCCAGAGCGGATCATCAGCCCAGCTAGGTTGCCCCGGAAGAACTGAGCCATCTTAGCATTTCCACCTGGACATATCACAACAGTGATGTGGAAAGTAACACACACACACACAAAGAGTTACTCAAGTGTATATTCCACAGACTTCACCATTTCTGGGCTGGTGATTGAACCATGCTATCTCAATGTGCAATGCTGGCGTGAATGGCATTCATGCAAGTTAGTATGGGTGCCCTGGGGCCACGAGAAGGAGACAGTGGGGATGATGTTTGAGCTTTTACACGCCTTAAACATGCAACATCTGCATTAACAGGGTGAACCGCTGCCTTACTGTGAAATAAAAATGACTGAAAAAAAATAAACTTAAAAAGGGGATTACATAAATGAATGGTGAAATGAATCCTCTCTATCTAGTCACCTTATATTGAAATGTTAGTATAACTGAGAAATGTAGTATTGCTGTGTGTGCATCAATCCTGGGTCCAGGTCACAGCCATCCACAGTGTGTGTGTGTGTGTGTGTGTGTGTGTGTGTGTGTGTGTGTGTGTGTGTGTGTGTGTGTGTGTGTGTGCTGCAGTAGCTCTGTTATCTAATATGGAGGAGTTGCTGCTTCTGACCCAAAGGTCATGTTATGAAAGAACAGTCTGCAGGAGCAAAATGCTGCAGCCAGGTCAACATGTCATGCTCATGTAATCAATGTTCTGCGCTGCTTGTGTATCTGGTTGATGTAGTGAGCGGAGTGTATGAATGAAGAATTAAGAAAATACAAAAACAAATGCAATACACAGGCAGATAAAAGGACAATCATCCATGCTGCATCATGCTCCAAACATATCTGTCTGTATCTAGAATGTGTAAGAATCATTCTAGTCGTAATGGTATGATAATGCAGTTAGCATGGTGGGACATTGTGGACACATGGACATATTTAAGGAGTAAGGGAAAGATTTGAGCAACCTGAGGTGGGCTCAGAGACTGACTCAGTGTCATTGTCATGTCCTGAGTTGTCTGTAAAGAACAGAAACAAGAGAGCAAGGAGAGACAGGGAGGAAGGTTGAGGATCTGTAGCAGAGACTTCAACGCTAAATACAAAGCCATGGTGCATCATTTGAGAAATAATTCATACAATAACGTGCACATCACTAGGCACTAATCAACACATATAATGACAGATTATCAGGTAGAATTCAAGCTTTTACTAAATCTTTTTACTAGCCACCAAAAAAGGCAAAATGTTACACAAACCACAACAATTCACACATTCTCTAGAATGTATTTGTGCTTCTGACTTGTTTATAAGTTAATACACTTTATCCCAATACTGAAATATGGTTAATTTAACGTTAAAGCATTCCTCCAACAAGAGATAGTGAAGAGTGTACCTTGCCAGCAGGCACCGATGGTGAGCTGGGATTCGATCTTGGAGGAGTGCAGTGGGTAGTCCTCTGTGACCAGGAAGGGCTCGAAGGTGGTCCCGTCCACAAACAGAGACACAGTGGGGAACTCGATATTCAGCACATAGTGATGCCACTCTTTGTCACAAGCCTGCGAAGAACACGACAGAGGGAATTAAGAACTGTAAGATGGACTGAGAATAGCACACCTACTCTTAGCGAAATATCGCATAACGCTATCATTCTCTAAAGACAATGTTTGGTGTTAGCAGCAGCTGACCTGGTCGAGCTTCCAGTGGAACTCGGCTGGTTTGTAGTTCTCGGCCTCTGATGGGTCCTGGCGGAGGAGCATGATGAGCCTGCAGTTGTGGACGTACAGCGAGTAGTGGTGTCTGTTCATCTCTGCAGGGGAGAATAAAGAGAGGAGATTAAGATATGAAATAGGGCTGCAAAACAAATTAAACCGGTTTTATCCTTTTTAGACTTTGAGCGTGTAATTCATGCCTTTGTTTCTACGCGTCTAGATTATTGTAATGCACTTTATGCCGGCCTAAACAAGACCTTGCTGGCCCGCCTGCAGCTTGTACAAAACACTGCGGCTCGGCTGCTTAGAGGAACACGCAAGCATGAGCACATCACCCCAATTCTGGCTTCCCTCCACTGGCTTCCTGTCCATTTTAGAGTTCATTTTAAGATGTTATGGTTTGTTTTTAAATCTCTTAATGGGCTGGCCCCAGAGTACATCTCCGACCTCTTACAGGTGTACACCCCCTCAAGGGCTTTGAGGTCGGCTGATCAGCTGCTGCTGCTAGTAGTCCCTAAAACCAAGAAAAAGACCAGGGGAGACCGAGCCTTCTCAGCGGTAGCCCCCAGGCTCTGGAACGACCTGCCCCCCCATGTCAAATTGTCGCCCACCCTCCAAACTTTGAAGTTGCGCCTAAAGACCCACCTCTTTTCCCTCGCTTTCGAGTCAGTTTGAGCTATGCTCTACCTATTTGTATGCTTTTATTGTCTGTCCATAGCCTTTGTGTACCTTGTATTAATTAAGTGTGCCTTTTATCTTTTCTTATGTGTGCCTTTTATCTATTATTGTAATATTATTATATTTTATTATAATGTTATGTTTGCTGTGAAGCACTTTGGTAAACCCTGTTTTTAATATGTGCTATAGAAATTGGATTGGATTGCAACAAACGACAATTTACATTATCGATTAATATGCATATTCTAGAATCTAGATTGATTGATTAATGGTCTGCTCAAAAATAAATAATAAATATCAGAAAATATCTATCCTAGTGGCATCAAAGTGTCTTTTATATGTTTTGTTTTTTCAGTCTAAAACCCAAAGAAAACTGAGGAAAGCAGGAAATCTAAACAGTTCTGCAAATTGTTGTTAAAAGTTACAATAAGGATTTATAGGGTCATCAAAATAGCTGCAGGTATTCTTTTCTTTTTTAACTGCCCCACTACAAGAGTAGAAAGAATGACATGTACATGCTTCAGTACTTTTCAATCAAAAGTGGTATAACTCCATAAAAGGCACTGAGAAGCGAAAACACAACTGAAACATATCACATGAAATTGTGTAGGCTATGGTCCTTTTGTTAAATGTAATGTTAACAAATGATGACTAAACAAATGAGGGCAGTAAATGAGTCATGGTAAGTTACAAGCACAGACCTGTCGCCGTGAGCTTAATGATTAAACACATGATTGCCACGGCCCTCCTTGTTCTTTTAATTGACAAACATGCCTCGACAGGTTCTCAAAGTGGCAGAAAAGATCTATTTGAAACCAGTTCCACGGCCAACTGATTTTACCGTATGGATTGTTCTCTGAGGAGGAAGTCAAATGTCACAGCTTATCTGCACATGAACACAAACTGGCTATTAAGCAGATATTTACAGTACTTTTCTCATTATGCATCTATAGGCTTAGTCTATTGCAATATCTGACAAAAATCTGTGATATTATATCTAGCACTATAATTAGAAATGGACGGCGAGGTACCTCCATTAACAGACTAAAAGGCTGAATCTTCCTTTCATTTAGATAAATAATATCTAAGCGACCGTGATATATATCTAAGATAATCTACAACAGCAACAAAAGGCCACCCTTTTAGGAACATCATTTTTTCATTTTTCAAAATGAAAATATAATTGATTTGCTGTTAGTTGAGATATTGATGAAATGTCTCATACTGGACTACAGGTAATTCTTCTTAAGTAATGTGCTACATGTCACCCAAGGCAGGGATGTAACTACATAATTGCCCTCTAATATGGATCATTTGCTATATTTATATTTTATATTATCCATATTAGAGGGCAATTATGTAGTTACATCCCTGCCTTGGGTGAAATGTAGCACATTTATTACTCAAGAAGAATTACCTGTATTCCAGTATGAGACATGTAATCAATTTCTTAAAGGTGGGGAAGGTAAGTTTGAGAAACCGGCTCGAGATACACTTTTTGTTATATTCCATGGAATGCTCTTAACATCCGATAGCAATGAATATCTTAAGTGCTTTGACAAAAAATCCATACAAAAATGTCATCTGTGGAAGCCGTAATACTGTAAAAAGTACAACCAATCCGTTTAGCCGGGATTGCCGCCCTGTCTGTCAGCCTTCCATCTCGTGCACGCACAAATGTATCTCGTGCCCTCATTGGGCGTGCCGTCATTGGGCGTGCATTGCAGCAGTACTTCAATGACTCGCCAGCAACAGGCGGCCACTTTCACCAGTCTGCAGACGTCATGTGAGCGTTCATGTGTGTTGGAGGAGGTGCTCTGTAAGGAAGTCTGAAGGAAGGGGCGGATTCTTTTCGGCTGTGTACTTTCAAATTTTAGTGCACTCGAGCCGGTTTCTGAAACTTACCTACCCCACCTTTAACTAACAGCAAATCAATTACATTTTGAAAATGTTATGAAAAATGTTTATGTAAAACATTTGCTGGACCCAACATTACAAATGTTAAGGTTCATGCTTTATTCTGCTTGCTTTTTTGTCATAACAGCAATATTTGAGGGTTATGTATGTGGCTGGTGAGGCTCAGACACACTGAGGCATATTAAGCTCTCTCGTGTCCTCACAGGCTACATTATTTGTATAGATTTAACTGAATAATACCTTTATATACAAAACAACAATTGTGAACAAAAGATGAATTTGATAGTGAACATAATTGATACCCCCATTCATAGGGGGTATCATTTATAGAGGTCATATTTATGGTCCAAATCTGATGTCCACGCTTCGCAGTGTCAGTGTTTAATATAAAGTGTCTGTCTTAAGAGCTAAAGACTCAAATGAGGAAGAAATGAGCTGAATGTCGAGTCATTTCTCTTTCTGTGGCACTGCGCTGAATGTTATGAATGCGATCACGGGTGAGGGAGCTTCCTGTTCAGCGCACAAAGGTTGTGATGTAATCCTTTATTATATAAGCGGTCCAACAGAAGCTGATGAATGGCCTCTCGCTGTCCATGGCAGAGACTTTACAGTCAATATGAAATAAGAAGCTTGTGACTGCTTGCAAAATGTCCAACTGGTGACCAATAGGAAAAGGTAGGAAGTTTCCATGTGAGCATCAACACTGATTATAGCCTGAAGTTACAACATTTATATTATTGGCACATTTTCAGACACCATATGTGCCGCAATAATGAGTATGCCACATTGACAGTCTAAAACGATGCATAAATACGTTTTATGTTCTGCTTCAATGTGTTTCTGGCATTAATGTCCAAATACTAATCTGTAGTTTTTGAGTGTATGAATATGTTAACATAAAAGTTAAACGTTTTACTTGAATTTGATAAAAACTAAATAAAAATGTGTTGGGCTATGTAAACAGCCATCAAACATGGTACGATACAATTCTATTGCCATTTAATGCAGGAGTGATAGCAGGTTTATATCTATACCATCTATATGGTAGGTTGGCCACTCTTGCCTTTTGCTCTGCATGTTTATTGTATGTTTTGCCTACAAACCCATACCAATGTATTAAACACTTTGATTAAATGGTAAAATGGTAAATGGACTGTAGTCATATAGCACTTTATCCAGTCTTACATACGACAAGTCATCATTCACCAATGTGCCCTTTTGCTCAGATCTGGGTAAAGTATCGTGCCCAAGGATCCATCTACATGTTGGCTGCACAGAGCTGGGATCAAACTCACAACATTGCAACTGAAAGGCGACTGCACTCCCTCGCAGCCACTGTTGCCTGAAAGCCACACTGGGGGATTTGATCAGTACAAATGCATCTAAAATCAGATATATAATATATAATAATATCAGATATAATATCAGATTACCATCGTCACCAGGATGTTACCTGTCTTGTCAGAGTTGCAGAGGATAGTCTCCTTCTCGTGGGCCCCGGGGCCGTGTCTCATCCACACAGAGATGGTGAAGGGCTTCTTCAGGCTGGTGCTCACCATGCCTTCGGGAACCTTGATGGCCTGAGTGCCGTTAAACTCAAACACCTGGTCGCTGTCGTGCCCGTTGTCTGTGGGCAGGCCGACGGTCCAGTTGGCGGCGCTGCTGGGTGCAGGCAGAAGCTCCACGGTGCCGGTGCTGGCTCCTAACAAACCATCAAATAGGACAAAGGCAATTAGAAAGATTAATTAGTATTCATTAAAAAAAAAAAAAAGGGACTCATTACCGGTAACCATTTCCAGTGGCACAGGTACTTACCGCACAGCTTGTGCAGTGACTTCTCAGAGTAGGTATCACGGTCACAGCCCTTTCCAATATGGTTGGTTTCCAGTTCAATGTTGGCTCGGATGGACGTGATTGGCTCATCACAGGTCTCCAAGTGCATGCTGGGGAAAAGGGCCAGGCTGCCTGTGCCAGGCTCATATTCAATCCTCTTATTGAAGCCTTTTGGATGAAAGCAGAGAGAGCGAGAGAGAGAGAAGAATGAAAAGATGTCCTTCAGCACAGCACCGCTAACGCGTGAGCTGTCAATATAGGGGCTGTCAATAGCAATTACTTTATAAGAAGTACTTCCATTCTTACAAACATGATAAAGGCCTTGAGGCTTAAAGGAATCAAATAGCCTTGTTGTCCATGGCATCCACCTAAACAGTGATGGTTGGAGAGTAACAGTGATCAGAGGAAAGCTTTTATACCTTGCCAGCTGGGTTTGCAGGTGGGCTTGACGCTGATCTTGACCAGAACATCCTCGGAGGCACGGTTCTTTCCACAATCGTAGGCGGTCACAGTCAGCTTGTACATGCGCTCCTTGCCGTAGCTCAGTTTCTCTGTGTTCTTGATAAAACCTGTGTGAAACAGAAAAGAATGAGAGAGCGCCTTTTGTTTAATGCTCCAGCTGTGCTAGGAAAGTAATAAAACACAATTTGGGCTACTGAACAGCATGCCAAAACAAAGTTATTTTAATTATTTTTAAAAAGCTGCCAAATTCAAATGTAATTTACTGTCAAGCTGAATGAAAAGTGCAATATATATTATTGACTTCTCTTTAGGGCCACATTAGGATATTTTTGATTTGCCTGGTGTTCTTCAAGATGCTATATTGAGAGTCACCAAGCTAATGTTTATACAGAGCCTGATTAGCATGCATGTGATTAAAATGAAGTGATGGAATTTGTTTGAATACGATTAGATCTCATCTCAGGTATTTTTCCTTCCAGCACTAATTAGCTGTCACAGTTGAGCACCTTCATCAACATTATGCACCCCACACCTTTTGTTCTCCTCCTATTATAATGTATAACCTGTCTGCATTTCCTTTTCTATCAAAGCCAGGTGTCACATCCACTGAGCCTGGTTATCTGATGTATTTTTAACTGGATCTTTTAATTTTGTTTTACAAGACATTTCAAGGAGACGGTCATCAAGCGGCCTTGAATTCCAAATGACTTTGTTTATACGGATCAATGTGATGTGTGTCAATAAAATCGTGGCTCTTAGGCATGCACTGCCGCTTTCCCTCAGGCTTGGACAAACACAAGGCTGCTAAGTGTGAGTTCTCACCATCTTTGTCGACGGTGAAGGGCACATCAGGGGTGACGATCTCGTAGTTGCAGATTTGACTGAACTGGAAAGAGCAGTCGGCGTCCACTGCCTCCACCTTCAGGATGCTGTCGTACTTCTTTCCCTCGATAACGGTGGCTTTGTAGGACTTCTCCTTGAACACCGGTGCATACTCGTTGATGTCGTTTACCTGGATGTGGACGGTGGCCCTAAAGAGACACGCTATGTTAGGACCATTTTGGCTGGGGATGTTTATTGACATTTGCCTAACCACAGTGAAATATGCTATTGTCCCACTTCAGTCACACAGTCAGCAGAGGGATTCAATAATAGTTTAGCTTGGTAAATCACACATCTAATGTCATACCATCTGCACAATCCTGTGGTTGATGTTCCGTTTTATTTTACAGTTTGTTTTATGTGAAAGCATAGTTTATATGAACCACGCCAAAATAGGTTAGGTGTGAAAGCACCCTAAATGATGCAACATAAACTGTTTGTTTTTCGTTATCTCTTTCTGTGAGGGGAACTGAGAACCCTTTTTATTGAGAGAACTACCTCTGCACCCTGATTGGGTACAGCTTTACAATAAGACTACCCTTATAAAGGATTGATAAAGGGTTTATAATTATGTTATTAATTAGGTTGTAAACACTTCATTAATCATTAAGAACCATTTATAAACCAGTTCTAACATAGTTTTCATACATCAACACAGGCTCACTATTTAGCAAGATGACTAAGCCTATTGGCTACCTAGCTTACTTCCTCTTCTTAATCAGCCAACATCCTTGGTATCTGTTGTTCACCGAGTTGATGCTCCCCCCTTCCATCTTGTTGTTTCTTGGCATCTCTTTATGACCATTTATTTACGAGTTACTAACATTTATAGCTGCCAAAAGGGAGCCTTATTGTAAAGTGTAAAACACATTCCCATTTATTAATGAGTTACTACCATTTCTAATAAGGCTTAGCAGTACAGATCAATGTGGGCTCTCTATTTGGCAAGCAACCGGTCACAGTTGCCCTGTTTATCTCACGTCTTATAAAAGCTTATTAAGGATTTATAAAGTGTTCCCAACCTAATTAATAAATGAATGACAAACTATTCGTAAACCCTTTATAAGGGTAGTCTTATTGTAAAGTGGTACCGGCACTTCTATACTGGTAGAGGTTGACTCACTTGTGGGATTTCTTCATATTGGTGCCATCGGGACCCTCTCCACAGTCGTAGGCTTGGATGGTGAAGGTGTGCTCCTTCTGCAGCTCACAGTCCAGCTTGTCCTTGGCCCGGAGGACCCCTTCGCCAGTGGACTTGTCCAGGACCACTGCCTCAAAGGGGACATTCTGCCCATGAATCCTGAAGCCGCAAATCTCACCTGAACACGTCAAGAGCCAAAAGAGAGTTTGTTCAAAATAACTGACATCAGGAGAGACATTTTCTCTTCAAATAATATTAAAAAAAATGTTAAAAACAAAACAATAAATTCACGCAAAAAAAAAGAGAAAAAGATCAGCCACAGGTTTTGGGTGCCAGGGAGTTGTAGATTGGGGGTGGGTGGTGTCTGTGGAGGAAGCCCAAAAGCACTGTCATATGGGTGAGTACTTGAGGGGGAGTTGGGAGAGGGTGTGGGACATTTAGTATCATAGAAGACGGAGTGTCTTTTCCAAGCCACTTGAAAACATTGCATCCAGTCATGCAGGCAGAAACCGAAAATATATGGACAGGCATTTTACAAAAGTACTTAAGATATTAGAAATCAAATTCATGAAGCCTATAAGAAGATAGAAAACATTATTGGAAGTAAAGATAATGTATTTCTTTACTAAGGTCTATTGTATGATAGAAACAATAATGAAGATAAATGCATCCAAATTAATAAAAATATTTGAGCATTATAGCGTCATGATAGGCACCATGAAAACCCTGAGTCTGAAAAACAAACAAACTCTAGAGACAATAAAATGTGTTTTTAAAGAAAATCATTTCTTCCTGTGTAATTTTGCCTTTCACCCAAAACGACTGCAAATTAAATCCAAATAAAACTAAATAATAAGAGAACTTCGACTATAACAGTTTAAAACAATCAGCACTGGATGTGAACTGGGATTAGAAATATCAACTTGCTTGACATCCACATCAAATGACAACTGCAGCCATGCTAATGGTGGAGATTAGTGGTGGAGAATTAACTCAAGAGATCCAGAGGCAAAGATGCGACAACAGAAACTTTGTAGCAGAGAGAGTTTGCATTAGTTAACAATCTCAGCAGCTTTCAGTGTAAGACTTTAAAGTCAGAAAGTCCACAGGAGTCACTGTACCTGCATAAATCTTATAGGTCACAGAGAGGCACCACCAACATAGATGATGCCTTTAAGATGCTCACATATACAGAGCTTTTATCCTCTTTAAAACACCCATTTTAGTGTACATTTCTGCTCCAATTGTCATGGGTGTTAAGAGGTTGTCAAATCATCATCTGTGTCCTTTCAGTTTTTTTCTATCTTGTAATCAAATGTCTCAGAAATGAGCTGTTCGTTCCATTTTCTTAATTGAAGAATTGGATTGGACACAATGGCAGCAAAGTGACTGAAAACTCCTGTTTTAAAGCAGCTTTCTGTTTCCTGGTGACAGCTGAAAAACTGTTAGGGTCTGCAAACTGCAATGGATGTCTCATGCACAGATATTTCTAAGTACAGTCAGCCCCACATCACACTTTTCATCCAGCTGTTGGAAGTCCAAAAAATTAAGGGTGAGAAAAACATAAAATCGAGAAAACCAAATGGGGAGATTACAGAGCATGGCGGGAGTTTCTGTGTAAAAGTGTGAATGCTGTTTTTTTTAGTTAGTGGGTTAATAGTAAAAACTAAGCACAAGGCAGAAGAAAGAGCCCAAGATCACCTTCTTCAGTGAGAGTCACCTCAAAACTCTCTACAAGGAAGGGAGAGAAGATAAACCCAGATCAGTTAAAAGACAAGTTAGAATCTCAGAGAAAACACAGAGAGGAAAGAAAGGAAACATACTCTTGCTTACAAAATGACCGACAGAAAATATGTGGTTTCCCACAAACAAAAAGTCTTCAGCCAGTTAAAAGAATTGAATGATTAGATAAGAAGCAAGTTGGGAGTACAGATAAATGAAATGATGAAGTGTATGACAGGGCGTTCCAGAAGGATATGGAGAAACCAGCCAATGGGTAAAAGTAGAATCACCTGGATTAAGACTTTGGCAGTAAAAGGCTTATTTGGTGGCCTCTGGCACATCATAAGGCCGTTCCATCATAGAAATAGAGCTTTATTATTGCATATTTTAATGAGTTTGCCTGCCTATCGTTTGCCTACATAAACATAGTCAATTATTGTAAAGGAGTAGGATATTCAAAAAGTAAACCATCGATACCATTCATGAAGGAAAATATATATAAATCATATATATCACTTGAGGATATTCCATTACCCCATTAAAAACCTAAATGCGTGACTTAGGACATTAGTTTGCATAATTTGTAAAGAAAGGAAAAAAAAGAGTTCTAAGACATGTTTTGCTGTAAAATGACATAGCAAACTGAGGCATTACCTACACTTATCATCATAACATAATCCTGTTCATTTGAAAACAATGCCTGTTAAAGTGTGTGTTTGTAATGTGTGTTAAAGATGGCTCTGCTGTCAAAAGCACAAAGTAAATACACATAAATGTGTTTAGCCCATAAAGGAATGTGCTGCTTATATGAAACATGGCTTGCTTTTAGTGGAGTTTTTTCTTAATGCTTTCTGTGCAATAGTTGTTTGTTTTAAAGCCCCGTCAGGTGGGTTGGACCGGGTCATTTTGTTTTCACCTACTAAACAATTAGAAATGGATTTCACATTAGGGAGTGCTGTTCAGGGCCAGTCATGCAGTGGGAGTTACGAGCCTCCGTGTTCACCCCAGCTCTAATGACCTGCTCACACCAGGGCTTCAGGAATTCCTCAGCTCGCACAGGCCTCTCAGCTCGGGTCAGCCATCACAAAGATGTTTACGTATTGACTTGACCTGGAGCTATCATTTAACGATTGGTACGAAATGCATACAGTGAGTAAGAATCTGAGAATATTATTAGCCAATAGATCAATATGCTGTACATTGTCTGGCATCCATTTGGAGTTACTGTGTTACAGAAACAAGGTCGTCTTATGTTCCTATGTGAATCATATAACCCATATCTAGTGTTTCAATGCTCCCTGCTTTGTGTTCCTCACTTGTTTAGGGCACATTCCTCAATGAACACAGAGCTCATTTTCAAGTTTGTAACTATTTCAGCTCCAATCATCCTGACTGAACTCATCACAGAGACATACACACTTAAAGCTACATCCAGTGGATCCTCATTCATGCTAGATATTCACCTTGTGCACTAATCTGACTTGTGATTGGGTTTCTTTGGCCCTGGAGGTCAGCTTTACAGTTAACCTTGTTTTTGGCCCAGATGGAGGGAGGACGAGGCGGCTGGCAGACAGAGCTGGTCACCCCTGCTGCCACGTGAAGCCAGATTGCTAGCTCTCAGTCATGAGAGCTAGTTCACAGGGACATGCAATGTATTCATAAAGCCTGGCTCATCATAAAGGGAGCCCCAGCTAAAAGAAGTGGGAACACCACGCTCTGTATTCAATGCTAATTTACTGTGAAAAGAGACACACATCATGCAGAGAATGGGCCTTTAATTAATCTTCCTGTCCTTCAGAAACGATGGAACTCTTGCTGAAGTTGTCAACTTTAAAAACTGTGTCCTGCCAGGTCGACTAGCTCTTGGAACAATCAGATTCAACATAACTTTGTGAAGAATATTACATGTATTCATCTTCTCTGACAAATGGGCATATGGATGTTAAAGCATTGCTTGCTAAATCAGATAATTCCAATGAGATTTTAGACATGATAATATCAAGTGGAGTGTGAGTGCTGAGTGTGGAGGCGCTCGCAGACACAAGATCACACACCTCGTGTGATGTGAATTTTCCTGAGCTGAAGTGCTTTGAATCCTGGCCAGAGTCAAGCCTGGTGTGATTTAAAAAAAACAGAGCAAATGTTGCCTTGGTACATAAAGCACGTTAGCTGTACCTCTCCCCTGGGAGGGAAAACACATGAAAGAGTGTTTTGATCTGAATATCAAAAGGGCCAATCTGGAGGATATGGTATCCGGATATATGTCAGTATGACAGGCATGTCATAAAGATCTAAAGGTCCTAATGCCATTGAGTCACATATTCTCTACCACAAGTGCATTAAATGATTATTCAACAATAAGCAGAGTTGTTCTGTCCTTCACTACGGAGTGACATTTTTTATTTGAATTAAGATTTGATCTCTAACAGAATGCTGCATGGATAACGTATTTTTGAAAGCCAACCAGGAAGTTAGCATCCCCCTGGTTCCCTCGACCATAAACCACTTACAGTAAATCATTCAAAGTTCACGAGTGTAGTATTTACTAACATATTTTTGTCATAGAACAAAACATGAACATCTATTGTCGTGTTGACTGATTGAAGCTGTCTAACCAAAAACAAAGAAATTGAAAAACATTAACTTTGAGACGAGTAAGTAAATCTAAATCTAAACTAATTTAGCAAACTCATTTGTGGGTTTAAGGACTCCTCTCTGCTGCCGTTCATACCATTTTTACCACAGAATGAATGGAACACCATGAAGAAAGAGAGGCCTTCCTATACTGTACTCGTGATTTTAAAAGCATGATGCTGTGGTTACATTTGGTGTTTTATTTCTATGATAACTTTAGCTTTTTTTTGTTATTGTTTGAATACCAAAAATATCCAAAATATTTCAGTTAATAAAAAAGTCCACTGTCAATCTGAAATGAAACTTATATAATTCATCGATGAACAGTTTTTCTGCATCCATAATATGAAACACATTCTCAAAGCTTTGATGGTACAGCGCAGTTAGTGTGCGTCCTTTTTCCGTTGTAAATGAGTCATTCCAAGTGAAGTGAAGCTGAGAGAAAATGAAAAGCGGCAGCAGCAGCAGCATTAAACCTCCTCTCTCACCTGCGTAGCGTAGAGGAGCATCCTTGTCCAGTGCAATTAGAGGAGGGTCCAGCAGTACTTTATCATCGTTTTCCGTTACGATCCCATGGTACGTCGTCTCGATCCATGGTTTGTGTTTATTGACTGTGAGGAACAAAGAGAGGAAATGTCAGTGCCTATTAAAAAAAGTCAAATCATTTCTGTCCTGTGTTGAGAAGTTCCAAATGGTATCTTCATTTCCCTCTCACCGGCACTAATTATCAATTTGCATATTTGTTTTGTCTTTTTAATAACAATGTCCTATTTTGTCTTTGTCTGAATGTCCTGTCGGTCTGTAAATGATGTTGTATTGCTGTTATTTCTTAAGCAAGTCTGCTTTTAGAATAAAAACCCCTTTCTCAATTACATTAGGCGACTGTGGCTGCGAGGGAGTGCGGTCGTCTTTCAACCAGAAGCTTGTGGGTTCGATCCCAGCCCATGCAGTTAACATGTCGATGTATCCTTGGGCAAGATACTTAACCCTGAGTTGCTCCCGACGGCATGGCCAACGGTGTGTGAATGTTAGCTAATGGGTGTGAATGGGTGAATGACATGTAAAGCGCTTTCAGGGGTCTTAAAAAGACAGGATAAAGCGCTATATAAGTACAGTGCATATTTTATGAGGTTTTGGAAGCTTTAATATTATTGCAGTGTTGTAAAGCACACTATTCTCCATCCTACAATAAACTAATGTTATATGTTTTGATGTATCCAAACTGAAGACAAGAGAATGTTATAATATAGCTTTCTTCGGCAGTAAAGTTACAAGAAATAGACTAAACCACCATCCATATCAGTTAATGGCTTTCAACAGGGGCATCAAAGGGATGATAAAGTCTATGGTTATGACATTTGGGCCGGCTTGTAGAGCAGTAGTTTAGCTATTTACAGCTTTGTGTGCTAGTTGGCCTGGGAAGCATCCTAGCTGCAGACGGGGCTCTGTGGTAGCTGGCGTTTGCAGAAAAAGCTGCAGTGAGTGACAGATTTGGGCTGGCTCAGAACACAGCGTTGACACAGGGGATATGCAGCTCTCTCTTACAGCCAATATGTGCTCACTCCAGAAAAAGAGGAGATCATGGAGTTACTGTGCTACTGATCTGCAAAAGTGATGCTAACTCTGGCTGACAGAGCGTTGTCGGAAACAGAAACAGGCAACCTGAACAGGCACATTTCATAAAAGGCAGGAAGGTAACAAAAGGGCTGGAACGTCGAAATCTGTATAAAGCTCTATGTTTTAATTTAAACTGCATTTATTTGCAGATTTTACTTTTGCGAAAGGATAATTAGCTATACAGTAACAGGCATGTGCCTAGTCTTTATTCATCATAGCTACCATGTATTAATAATGTCATGTGGCATACACTACTTCTGTTGTCTCAATTAGAAACTGTGGTTAGAATAAAAGTGACTTTTCCTTTATAGCTTATGTGAATGGAAATGCACAGCATGAGCAGCTTCATTACAAACTGAAGCACATCCTCTAGCCCAGGTGTATCTCATTCCCACACAACGACACACTCGAAAATCCATCTCAACAAGCGACATTGTTTAACTAGAGGGTGGATTAATACAAAAGGCTGCTGCCATTCAAGCATTTGCTGAGGCTACCAAACTGTACAGTTGCTGTCTTCCATTACATCATTTAACACCTACAATTCTTCTAAGTCGTCTCACATCTCTGACCCAAAATGCTCGCCCAGAAAAGAAGAAGGAGAAGAAGAATACATGGTTAAATGATCTCTGTGGGGAGGTAACCAACAATTCTAATTAAAACATGTTTTGCAAAGTGAATTCAATCCATTGTTGTGCTGCAGTAAGCCTCAACATTACAGATCTGACTAATAGAAAGACGCCCCGTGTTCAATAACACACTATGTGCTACAATTACATTATGAACTTCAGACAGAAACCAGACAAACAAAAACATGATGTGGATGTTCTAAGGCGACTCAAATTCTGCTGCTTATGCCTTTACATAATTTAGTATAATTCTCAGTTATTACATGATCAACAAAGAATAATTATAAGCTACTTGCACAGGATTGGAGGGGATGTGCGCATCAAAATGATTTAGTCAATTTTCTTAATGAGAAATATGTTCTTATGGCTTAATAAACAACATACGTGCTGCAGCTTTAAATCATTTAATTATGTTACAATTGTTCATTCTTTCTTCAAAACCATGGATGTACAATGTTTGCTCGTCTTGGCAGGAAATAGATATTATGCATTAAATGTGGTGAGAACAAGTGTTTTTGGATAATCTTGACCTACACAAGCAGTGCTTAGTAAGAACGTGTTGCTTTGGTTACCAGTGGTTTAGGATTGATCCGTCCCGATACATGGTCTTTACTGAGCGTCTTGTGACCTGAAGGGAAGTGGATGTCTTTAGAGAGATTGCCAGGCCCAACTACTATAATAATCTGCTTTAGCCTCCAGCGAGTCAACTGTTTGCCAGGTCTAGGGCTGCTCAATTAATCGTATTTTAATCGCAATTACGATTTTGGCTTGCAACGATTACGAAAACAACGTAATCGAAATAAAACGATTATTTTTTAATTATTTTTTATTGGTTTTTCAGTTGAATTATACTTAAAGTTCAGGGTAATCAACTGTTAAAAACATACTGTTCCATTTTTTTTTTTAAATAAATGGATGTTTTCAAAGTAAATGGATAATTGTTTTTTTTATAATCGTGATATCAATTATTGACCCAAATAATCGAGATTATGATTTTTGCCATAATCGAGCAGCCACATGATCACATGTCACATGTGGGCCTCACACTCATCAGTAAAATGTCAAGCCGCATTCTCAGAGCTACTGCAAAACATTTCATCCTAATCTTTCCACCAGGAAGGACGGCTGCCTGCCTGTATTGTGTGTAGTTTCATATAATTTCCCATAGTCTAAAAATCCTTATGTCAATTTAATTAGCACCTTTTTCAAACTTGACTTAAGAGCAAGGAACTACAAAAAAATACCACTTTAGAATGTGCCTGTCATACACTGTAAAATAAAACTGCTGCAAAGTCTGACCAAGACGCACCAATACCTAAGACTGGTCTGAGATGAAAAAATCACATAATGCAGGTATCCTCACAGATGGTACACTCACTGCTGAGCTGAAAACATGACTTAGGTGTATGTATGGGAACAAAGAAGGCAGACCCAGGAGGCTTTTGACACATTTAAAAAGCAAACCGCTATACCACCGGTTGAATTCAAAGCCTCTTTCAGTCACACAAACCTCTCAGGAAATGGCATCTAAAGCGCAGTTTTATTTAAAGCGTGAAATTCTCGAATACATTGTGTGAAATCGCCAACAAGGCCCTTTTGACAAGATGGCTTCATCATCTCACTGCAAGCCCTCTGAGCATTTGTTGCCCTGTGAACATTTGACAGAGCAGCAAAGACATTATTTTCACAAATACTGAACCATCCTTGTTTTGGAACCAGTTATTTATAACACACTATCAACAAGTTAGGATTTCTGCGATTATAAAGGAGAGACTCTCTGTAGTGTAAGGGAGGGACTTTTTTCGTGAGGGGAGGCTTTAGTTTAGGATTTAAAATGGAATGAGATTAGGGAAGGGGCTTTGAAATGTTTGAGGCAGTCTAAGGAGGAAGACGCTGCAGCAGCACTGAGGATGCAAAGTGTAAAAGACTGGCATTATCTTAATCTAACTTAATTAGAAAACCAATTTCAAACCCACTACTGGCCCAATCACAACCAGCAGACTCAGCTCTTCTCTTACTGTACATGGAAGCAGATCATTCAAGAGGATCTCTTAACTTCTAGCAAATAATCAACATTAAACTGATTTAAGATCCTTCCTACGTACTGCCGAAGATGCTTGGGAAGATTTGTGTGTTGCGTCTACTGTAAATTGACCATTATTTTATTAAAATAGGCCTAATGTGTGTCACATGTGTCAATATTCATTATAACCCACATTGTGTGGCTTCATTTATAAAAAAATGTAAATGGTGACAAATATCCATCACAAGAGACGTCACAAATGTACGTGTTTTGTTTGAAATCCCAAAGCTGAATTGAAACAACTGAAAGCAGAGAATGGGTGGCTGGCCATGTTTGCTTGTTAAGTGGCTTGAAGAATTTATGAATGATACGTTTTTGAAGATTATTCTTCTAAAAGATGTATTGTTTCAGCTCTAATCTGACAAAGAATGGCAAAAGAGATCACTGTGCCTAATCCTCACATGTAGAATTTAAGGAGGTCACAACAATGTGGGTCAATGTTAAGCCAAGAAAAAAGGAACGTTTAACAGTGTTTAGAACAGTATCATCTCAGCATACTTGAACACAATTAAAGATTGCAACATTCAGCAACATTAAGCTGTGACAATTGGCCCCCTAATAAATCTGTAATGGAATATAAGTGTTGAAAAAAGTAAAGCTGTGACAATACATTTTCAAGTGACTGCAAGACTCCTTCAGGAACTAACAGTACGGATGAAGGGGTGAAAAAGCAAAAAAACAAACGATAAAGGGGGCATGCTACAAAGAGCATTGCACAGCATACTGCGCACTTTGTGGGGTTAATGATTTGACTTCACAGTGACTCACCCATATTTCTAGCACAGAGCAACCACTGATAAATATTAGATGTATAAGAATACAAATACACAGATATAATAGGCTGATGTTTTACCTCTTGATAAATTATAGATATTAACTCAGTAGAGTATATACTGTATCCACTACCAAACAAATGAAGTCACAACAAAATAATTTCAGATGCTTTTAAGAAATGATTGATGTGTCAGAAGCTGCAGACAACATCACACGCACATCAAGCCCTTACTGCACTAGCACAGACGGCTGGCCTGGCAACACACTACAGTATGTGGTATGAAATCCTGTTACGCAGCAAATAAAGCCACTGACACTTAATCCCATAATGGGATGCGTCTACTTCAGGGGTCGGCAATCCCAATGCCACCATTGGCACGCGGCACCGTAACCAGTGGCACACTAGGAATTAGGGATGTCCCGATCACATTTTTTTGCTCCCGATCCGATTCCGATCATTTGATTTTGACAATCTGCCGATACCGATTTTTCCCGATCCGATCTTTAT